GGAAGAAGACGACTAGGAAAAGGGACCATAGGGTTCAGCAATGTGGAGGTCACTGGGGATCCTAACTGGAGAGGTTCTAGGTGGAGTGTGAGAAGGTTCTGCCTGGAGCATTTCCATAGAGTACCGCAGGAGGAGCTGGAGGTGGCAGGCATACTCAGCCTTTCCCAAGAGGTTTTCTATAAAGCAGGGGAGACAAACAGTAGCTGAAGGGATGGGGGAGGAGGGAAGTCAAGAGAGGATTTGTGAAAAGTGGAATCTATTAAAAGTTTAAACCACTCCTTTCAGGTAGGTTCGGAATTCATTCATTTACTTTTTCCAGATACAGTCACTTTGGGGAATCAAAATTTAATACAGTTTTGGAGGACAAAAATAATCCTAATATAACCAAGGGTTTTCTTTAATTAGGACTTCGAAATAAAGCAATTTTTATTTGATTTCAGAAACTTTCAGTGAAAGTTTAAATAACTTAACCCTTCATTTGAGCAGTATGAGTAGAGTTACACTGGTTCCATGATCACTTCAAGAAATACTCATGTATCTATTAATAAAGCCCAATTTACCTTGGTGTTATCAAATGCTAACAGGAGAGTTCTGCCATTTGTTAAAAAGATTTCCACGGCATTATCTCTCAGCTGCCACCAACGCTTGTGAACTTCTTTGATTTCTTCATATGTCCAGGAAAATGATGCTGGTTCCAAGTCTCCCTGAAGGCTCTAGCACAGAGGAAACAGATGAAATTATTTGCTTTACACGAAATATAAATAATCATTTTCATCTTAGATTTTTAAAAAATATCAAAATGCAATACAAAGTCTACCTTTTGTGCCAAGATGGCAGGTCAAATTCCCTGAAAATCCTCCTACTACTAAACACTTCAAAATGCTGAATACTATTTAAGGATTTTTTCTTTTAAATGAATAGACTTTATTTTTCTTTCTTAATAGACTACTTTGCAGATCAGTTTTAGGTTTAAGAAAATTGAGCAGATAGCACAGAGTTCCCATGTATCCCCTCTCTGTATCCCAGTTTCCCTATTGTTAGCATCTTGCATTAGTGTTGTGCATTTGTTATAATTCATGAGCCAATATTGATACATTACTGCTGACTATCAAGTCCATAGTTTACATTAGGGTTCAGTCTTGGTATTGTATAGTTCTACAGGTTTTGACAAATGTCTAAGAAATCCACCATTACAGTATCACACAGAATAGTTTCACTGCCCTAAAATCCCCCTAGGCTCCCCCTGTTCTCCCTCCCTCCCGGCACAACCACGCATCTTTTTACTGTCTCCATAGTTTTCCCTTTTCCAGAATGTCAGATAGTTGGAATCATACAGTAGGCAGCCTGTTCAGACTGATTTCTTCTACTAGGAAAATATTCTTATAAATGTATAGTGGACCTTACAAGAAAGTTAGGGAAATGAAATATCCAGGAGTCAAAAATAAAGAGAAATTTGAAGAACAGCGGTGAGGAGAAGTGACACTCTGGCCTGCTCTATGTATGTTTCACCATTGTTGTGGGTCCCAACTAATTTTTAAAAGCAGAGTTAGGAAATACATTACAAAGAAAATAAAATGTTTTAATGAAAATGTAATATTCTCATACTTAAAATCAAATCCTCCTTGTTTAAGCTTCAACATTCAACATACAAGTTAACAGACATACATTTAGCACCGACAGGCAAGGTGTTCTGCCTAAAATAAATCTTTATAAGATAAAAAGTACGCACAGATATTTGTACACACATCTAAAACACAAGATAGCAAATGTCACATAGGAAGTAAGAACAAATGCTACAAAGTACAGAGGAAGGAAAGGTCCTTCAGTCTATTAAAAAACAAGGGTAGTTTTAGGCAAGTTTTAAAGGAAGAAAATGTCATCTTTGGACCCAGCAAAATGTTGGCTCATATATCAACTATTAAATTCCCTGATTGCTAAAAAGATACATCTTGAAAAATAACATAACTATACTTTTACTAACTGGTATAAATGCTAGGGGAATTGGTATTAAATCGTGAAAGAATGCCTACTCAATTTGGGGGGGCTATATTCAACATTTTTAATGATTTTTTTTTACATTATTAGTTTTACAACTAAATTTTATATTTGTAGTCGGTTTCTTTGAATCAAATATGTATTCACCATTAAACCATACATAATCTTATTAAGTATATCCTTAGGAATTTCTGGCTTTAGAATTTTTCAGAAACAAAAAGCTTTATTTCTCCTATTACAAGGATTTCAAAACAATATTTTAATGGCATACAAATGAATCCAAATGGATAAAAAGCTTTACTATACAAAAAAAATGTGACGTAAGAGTCTCTTTGTTATTTCCTGATTAATATCAGTATTTCCAGAAGAATAAAACTTATGATTACTAAGCTATGTGAGTATCAGGATAACTTAAGTTATTCGATTATGTAGGATTTTCCTTTCTTTTTGAAAGCAGATGTGCTTGACAGTAAACTGGGAGTGGCAGGGAGTGGTTACTGGTGGCTACAGGGGACAGTGATGGGAAAGAATGGCCAAAATTGAAATGGCAGGAGCACCTGAGAATTTGACTCAAGGGCTGACTGCCGTGACTCAAGACAGAAGAGATGGCAGGTTCTTCTTTTCAAAACTGTATTTAAAAAAACGTTCTGACAAATCTATACAGAATGACAATAAATGAACTCTAATAGTTCTACCTGCTCTGTGGTGACACTGAATTTATACATTTGGGGAACCTGTTTGGATTTAATTAGTGCAAACGTAAGCTTCTACTTACCGAACTTTCAACTGCATCAGAAGCATTATCTTCCACAAAATACATTCCACATTTACCTGCAGAATATAACTATATATGAGTTTTAACATGTATGCACACTGTTACCTTACATGGTTAAAAGCATGCCCTTTGGAGCCAGTGGCCTGAATTTGAAGTCCAGCACTGGAAACAGTTCCGACACTCAGTACCTATTTTTGAACAGCATCCATGAGGTCTCAGGCAAGTTGCTCAACCTCTTTATGTCTTAGTTTCCTCATAAAAAGAAGAGGGTAGGGAGGGGACTCTATTTTACAGTGTTGCTGTGGGAATTAATTTAAGATATATGTAAAATGCTCATTAATAGTGCCTGGCACTCAGTGCTAAACAAATGTTGGCTGTTTACTATTACTAGTATATTCTTACATTATTTTCTTATATTACTAGTATATTATTTCCCTTGATTTGGTCACACCTTAACTGAAGTCAAGCTGTGAACCAAATTTTCTAGCAATAGAAGAATCTTTAATGATTTTGCTGACTTAAATACTCAATAGGGCAGAAAGGCTTTACAAAATCATCCCCAGTTTTTCCTGCTTCATAGGCTGTCATTAGCACGTCACTATGTCATCGTCATGTATACAAATGCTAGGAACTGCCTGGGCTCTGCGCCGCGTGCTGGTCACCCCTGAGCTCTGGCATGGCAGCTCAGAGATGCGCGCTATCTCCATCCTGTGACCACGGGGCTCAGTCCTAACAAGCTCGGAGCTCTGCATATTGCCCCTGTTAGCCCACAGCTGTGATGCTCAAATCTGAGGGCTCGTCCAAATGCAGATTGCTGGGCCCCACCCCAGAGTTCCAGATTCAGTCCCTCTGGACTGGGGCCAAGAATATGGGTTTCTAAGTAGTTCCCCGTGAAAACAATTCTCACCGAATGTAACTATATAGGTATCCAGAGATCAACAGTCTTGGTCTTTCTCTGAGAAGTACAATAGGACTAAAAATTATGAATCTCAAGGTGGGTGTATTTCTTATGCATAGGTATATCTGTTATAATAGTAGGCATATAAGTATACTAATAATTCTTCACTTTAAAACCAAAATTGCTATANTAAACCTGCAGTCTAAGTCTGCAGGTTGCCAACTACTGAAGCTAAGGCTGAAGGAAGGGAATTTATGAGGTCTGCATACCAAACCCTGCAAGAAGAAGGAAGCAATCATTTGTTCAACAAATATGTACTGAGCACTTATATGCAGTCTGTTCAAGGTGCGGAAGCTTCAGCACTAAACATAAGAAAGTCCTTATTTCTAGTGAAGAGACCATGCTGGACACTGTTAAGTCCTATAGAGAGAAACAGAGCCCAGAAAAGGAGCTAAGGGAGGTTTGGGGGCAGGAATGAGAGAGGGCTTCCTATTTTATTTAGTCAGGGAAGGTCTCCCTGAGGAGACACTAGATCAGGGAATCTGAAAACAGTAAGGGAATGGGTCCTGTGGATTTCTAAGAGGAAAAGCATTCCAGGCAGCATCTCAGGGAGTGGTAAGTGCAAAGGCCCCGAGGTGTCAGTGTGCCTTCTACGTTCAAGGAAGAGAAGTCGCTATAAATGGAGCAGAGAGAGTGAGGGACAGAATGTAGAAGGTAAGGTGAGAGAGTTAAGAAGGTGCCAGATTATTCAACACTTAGTTAGGCTATGAAAGGACTCTGGCTTTCACCAAGTGACCCAGCAAGTGATGGAGGGCTTTGAGAAGAAGAACGGCATGATCCGACCTACGTTAGCTGCTGTGTTGAGAGCAGTCTGAAGAAGGGTGAGTGTGGAAGCACAGAGGCCGGTCAGGTAGTGCAAAGGTTTAGGCAAGAGATGATGGGGTCTCAGACCAAGGTGGTCTAGTGGAAGCAGTCGGATTCTGGATGTATTTTGATGGGAGAACCAGCGGGACTTACTGAATCAGAAGGTATGAGGCATGAGGACCAGGAGGAGTCTGGGATATTCCCAAGGCGTTTGGCAATCAGAAAGATTGGAGTTGCCATTTATTGAGATGAGGAAAATTGCAAAGAGATTTTGGGGAAGATTAGAAGTTCGGTTTTGTGCATGTTTAAACCTGAGATGCCAATAAGACTGCCAAGTGGAGATGCCAAGCAGGGAGTTAACGGAGTGTTCAGGGCAGAGGTTTGGGTGCAGGTATAAATCTGTAAGTTGTTAGAATACAGGTAATGTTCAACGTCAACAGACTGGATGAGAAGAGAAGAGGTCTGAAGAGTGAGCTGAGACCCCGGGAGGAAGCATCTGCAAGCAAGACTGGGAAGGTACACGGAGAACTAAG